GTGGGGGGAACCAAACTGTTGACCACGTTACTATACACCGACATATAAGTGTGTGCGAGCAAAATTTTGCGAAGCTTAAAATGGGGGAACCCAAATTTAATTTTGGGGGAACCTTTGGAAGTTTCTGGAGCCCTGGGCGCCCCTCCGGGTGGGAAGGGGCGTCCCATCCGAGGAAGGGCGTCCGGGAGAGGGGGGGGGGGCGACTCGGGCGAGCGAACGAGAGATTTCCTACGGAGGATATTTAAAAGGATGACACGTGAGGTCTACGGAGTACGGATACGGGTCGTGACGGTAAAGCTCGCTCCCTCCCGCGACTCCTCGCTGGCTCTGCCTCCCTCTGCCTCCCTCTGCCTCCCTCTGCCTCCCTCTGCCTCCCTCTGCCTCCCTCTGCCTCCTTCTGCCTCCTTCTGCCTCCTTTCCGAGTACTTTGCGAGTAATCAGTATTCCGAGAAGCCGTTCCCGCCGATCACCATATTCCGCCCCGGCCCCAGCCCGGCTCCTTCGGCCACGTAACCAGTTACGGCCGACTCCTAGTTCCAGTCCCAGCCTTAGTCCCAGTCCCAGTCCCAGCCGGCCACCGGCAGAAAGAACTTAAAGAAGCACGCAGCAGGCGAGGAGAGGAGGAGGAAAACGCGATAAGTTCCTCTAAATCCCCGCACTCCCCCCTCCCCCACTCGGCCGCACTTGACGCATTGTTTATAGTACAGCGTGACGCCGCTACAACGTTGCGAAAAGGAACGGGAAATGCGAGCCCCCCCTGAGCGCTACGCAGCCCCGCCCAGCGTCCGTGGGAACCGCCATGGCTTCGCGCTGCCCTTTCGCGTTCCTCCACCCTCGTCCTCGCACTCCGGTCCCAAGGAGAAACGCCGTATGAGTATTCGAATCTTGCCAAATTTCCGCTCAGAAAACATTTGTTGTACATGGAAGTTCCTTCCGACATTTTCCTTTGAAATTTTCCGACACTTCAGATCAAATTACGAACATTATCCTCGGAAAAACCGGAAAAGAAACATTTACAGATTTTCCCGTAAAATCGTGATTTCCCTAAAGAAATATGGCAACGTTCGGAGGCTCATACGGCGTTCCTCCTGAGCACGGGAGCATTGAGCATTGACGTTTTACAGGTCCTTCCGATCATGCGAGGCGTGAATTGTGCTCACTCGTATTTTCATAGCTGCGTCTTCTAGATTTGCAGCTGTGAATACGATCCTCTCCAACTCTGAGCTTGCTTTCACGTCCATCGATAACCAATACACCATCAGCTTGATGCCACCATCATGATCAAATGAGTTAGTGAAACATTTTTTCCGCTCAGTTTCGTAGGAAACAGTGACTTGAGCGAGAAAAATCCCCTCTCCCTGAAGGCGGTACAGGTCCCTTCAGAGGAAGAAGATGCCGAATCGTGGCTCCTCTAACGTAAGGGCGTTTCTCCGTTTCCACGTGAGCCGTGAAAGGCATGGAGTTACAGTTTCTGGCTCAGTTTAGAAGCAGCGTATGTATCACTAAGTTCCCAAGGCACATAAGTGTTTTTACAGATGCACCAGGAATTGTAGCTCCCAATTGTAAAATGTTGTTGATTTAGAAAGAGAAAGAAACAAGTTGCGGGTGACGCAATGCGAATGGGTCCGCGCACTCCAAGTGTGTTTTACGAGCCTCGACTTGGGAGTTGGAGCGAGTCGTCTCGACACCTCAACGGCCCGTTAAACTCCATCCTGAGTGGCGTTAGGCCTCCCGAGGACTTGAATCTCCAATTTGACTTCCCAAGAGAAAAAATCCGAGGCCGACCCTGGCGCCAAGTGGGTCAAGAAAACTGATTTCAGTGTCGATCGCCTCATGCGAGATCGCAAACGTAAATATTAGTCTCCGGGCAGAGCCTCCTCATTGTTTCAACGAGGAACGAATGTATATACGCCATTGAAATTTAGGAACTCGGAGGAGAACCAAAATGACTCAGAACTTTCGCTCATTGTTTGTTTGTAACGTCTAATCATCCCTTATCACTCTTCTTTGAGGAAAACATTGAATGTAGCGAAGAAAAATCTAGAATTTTACTCCGGACTGTGGTTGGACTGTTTCCTCGCAGATAAAAAGAAGGTCTTTAGGGTCCGCGTGTACTTAAAAAAATCCCTCCCTTCTAGAGTAAATCTTCACAACTTTACATCCGTTGTATCTTTCTGTTTCTGAACTCGACAACATCGTAAGCAAATATAACGTAGGTATAACTGATTTGTTCAACGCTATTCAATCAGCGGGATGATTTCTGAATTTGATAGACAAAGCTATAGATAAAGAAGATAAAGAGAAAATGGAGCGATCTTTTTAGTGAAAGCGGGTGGTCGGAGTGGACAAAGGAGGTATAATCACTTAACTGCCGTGCTAAGGAAGAACGTCGTATGAACCTTTGTGCGTTGCCAAATTTCTTTTGGTAAAATACGAATTTTCAAGAAAACTTGTGAAAATTTTCCGTCCAATTTTCCAGAGAATTTTCTTTGAAATGTGATCTAAAGTATCAGAAAATTTTGAGTAGAATTGTTGATTATTTGGCTCAAAAATTAATATTCTAAGAGGAGAAATTTGGGAGCTCTCGGATTTTCATACGGCGTTTTTCCTTAGCAAGGCAGTATACTAACTGAAGGGAACCTACGAGAGACCCTTTAGCTAGTCCATCATTTTCCCCGTTAGTGTGCACTAAGGAGCCGTTTCAAGCAAGAGAATGGCTCTATTTTCGCTTTGCCCACTGCTTTGTCGATGGATTTCAATAATGGAGCCCGATGAAGCCGCGATGCAACGCACGGCCAGAGCTCCTTGGAAGCGCGTCCGAAGAATCCGAGGTGGAAACGGGACTCGAAGCCGGGACTCGAAGCCGGGACATTGTAGGTCAGCGTCGCGTCGCCACTGACAAGGAGCACGCGCTCGACCAAAATAAACTCGTCCGAGTCCTCACTCAATAGGATGCTCGCTTTTTTCTGCGCCTCAGTCGAGGGGAGAGGAGAGGAGAGGAGAGGAGAGAACAAATAAAAGGAGAAAAGAATTAAAATTAATGGTTATTGATAATACTGGAAAAGGGCATTAACCACGGGCCCGGCCCGGCGCGGCGCGGCGCGCTCCGGCCGAGACCTCCTCCCTTCCGCGTTCCTGCATGGCATCCATCCCGGCCCGGGGAGGGGGGGAGGGGGCTCCATGGGGGCAGTGAATAAGTTTTAAAGGAGAAAAAACCCGCGAGAGGGGGAGGGGGAATAACGACATTATTGTGTTGAGAGCATGGAGCATCGTCTGCCACCAGTGCCGTCCTCAGGAAAGAAGACGCATTAGCACTCAGACGTTGCCAAATTTCCTTTGGTAAATCACGGATCTTGGGGAAAATTTATAAATATTTCTCTTCCAACTTTTCAGAGAATTTTATTCGTAATTCCATTTGAAACATCTGAAAATTTCAACGGAAAAGGTGTTTAATTTCCTCAAAAATAAATATTTTCTCGGAGGAAAGTTGGCAACGTTCGAATGCTCTTACGACGTTTCTCTGTAGCACAGCACACGAGTCATCCGTGAGGGCTCTTGTCAGATTTCGTCGGTTCTCTTTCGGAAAATGGACGGATCCTGTTGGGAAGCTGAGGAATGTTCGGCGTGAGAATTTTCCGGGCGCAGGGGCCGTAAGTACCGGCTGTTCGGACCCAACGAGTGGACCTCTTTCCATCTCTGGGCCCGGAACTCGAACCGTATGTGTAATGTGATTAGGGCTTTCATCTTGAAAAAAATTAGATTCTTTAAGATATGGACATCTGTTTCCCTCGCAAGTTTCTCGCTTTGGTCAGGAAAATATTTTGCTGTTACGCTGAGTAAAATAGCACATTCTTTGTCTGAATGAAATTTTTCCGCCTATCGGAACGGAAGAAAATTTCAGGAAAAACGCAATATCTTGAGCTGCGTTAGGATGTTTTTACTGTAGATGGCAGAAGAGGGATAGGATCTTATGAATTCGTCGTTGTATCGGGAAATAACTCGGGCACATATCTATACCTGGAGGAGAGGCATGCGGAATGGGAGGAATGACTCAGGTGTCAACAAAGCAACGAGTTAGCGATTTTGAGAAGCACCTGCGTCAGGCATCCATGTCACTCGCGGCGACAGCAAATCAAACAGGTGTCAAGAGTCAGCTCAAAGTGCGAGCACAAAAGAGACAACACCTG